TTGTGTGAACAGACAAAGACTCATTAGTTTTAGCAACAATAGCAGTCATGCTAAAACTAGTAAAAATGAGTTTATGAAGCAAATAAAAAATGACAGGTACTTCTACAGATTGATCACACACCACAGTAGGGGGGCGGCTGAGGGTGATCCTTGTTCGAAAGACAACAAAATCAAGTATTGTAGACTAATGATCTAACGGCCAAAGGATGCCGTTGCTACGGCCTTAGACGTTTTTTTCCGGCAGTTTTTCTTTGCCTTACATACATTGCAAAAGACTTGTAATCAATAATTATCCATTTAAAATAAAATTTGAGCTTGGTTTCGTCTAAATGCACTTAGTCGAAAAGTGGTTCAGTCTAAGTGTATTTAGACAAAACCAAGCTCAAATTTTATTTTAAATGGATAATTATTGATTACAAGTCTTTTGCAATGTATGTAAGGCAAAGAAAAACTGCCAAAAAAAAACGTCTAAGAATCACGAAAGGAAGCACTTTTTTTCCTTGGCCGTTAGATCATAATGAATGAATGATTTATGCACGAAAAGTGAAATCAGCTCAGTACGATAATGCCAAGCTTTTGTCTTATTTTTTAGAATATGGTTGGACGATTCAGTATAGTGGCTTTAATTATGAGCCTACACACGAAAGTTAAAGCGGGATAAAACGAGATAGTTCAAGAAAACTTTACGTTTTTCTCCACAAAAATATAGTTGTTATTGTTCACTTCAAGAGTAGAGTTCAGAATTTGTTTCAATTAAGTTTTCAAAAAGAATCGGCTAATTTCTCTACTCTATAACTCATGAATGATAATTACTCTAAGAAAATCACTTATTGCTCCCTGCTTTTGTTTTCAAGGCCCAAAATTCAGTTAAACGGCAGCATAACTTCTGCCAATGTATGCTTGTTGTTTTCTTTTCATACGGCATGCCTAGTATTTGTGTTCAATCTATTGTTGGACGAAACTGATGTTGTAATGAAATGAAAACAGTGATTGACCGTCGTTGGTCAATTCATTTATGTTCGTTACAAGTTACTAAATGTTTGTTTGCGAAATTGTCGCTAAATGATTTTGATGCTTAATATATTGAAATTATTAAGTACTCCTGTGAAGGATTCAAATAAGATATAAAAAGATGCCATGTTCTTTGCAGATATTAAAATCATCATTTTTGTCGAGCTACTTTTGTATATTTTTATTTGTTGTTTCATTTTTAAAAGAATATCATGTTTTCTTTCTTTCATCATTCTGTTTTTCTTTGCTTATTTTTAGATCTTTCTCCTCCACTTAAGTATTATTTGGTAATCAATATCATTAACAATGGCTGTCATTGATGCTGATAAATTACGTATTGAAATTCAGTTGATATTGAAAGATGCGGATTTAAATACTTTATCATCGAAAAAAGTTAGACAAATGTTGGAAAGATTATTCGATTGTGATTTTACCGAAAGAAAAAAAGAAATTGACGATATTCTAATGGCAGAAATAACTCGTAAGTTTTAACAAATTGTTTTCTCGTGTAAATCTATTTTTCAGTTTAATATATATGTCCAAGTTTGCGTATTCTCCATGATGGATTTGTAACCTCACAAAGAGGAACATTAAAATTCAGGACAACTATTATATGAAGTTGAGAAAATTGTCATTTGTTTTTTTTACAGATTCTAGCTAATATACTACTCTTCATAACTTTTTAAGGCGAAAATGATCAAAAACATCAAGATCATCAAGACACTAACAATAATCATCCTTCATCTACAACAACATCTGAAGATGATGAGGAAATGTCAAAAACTTCGCCATCTTCATCGAAAAACTTAAAACCTAAAAAAAAATCACAGAAAAAAGTATCCTCACCCTCAAATCTAATAAGGGATAATATCAATGGAAACGACAATGGACAATTTACAATAAATTCAACAAAATCCGATGAAGAATTAGCAATGGAAATACATCAGCAAGAAAACAGACCAAGTTTAAGACATAAAAGGCAGTCAGTAAGTAGAAAACTATTTGATGAATATTTACAATGAGTATAGGAATAAAACAGCCCTGATATAGTACTAAATAAATTCTAAGAGTTTCTGTCCAATAAATATGGTGTTTGCATGCTTTATATGCTCGTAGATGCTCATTCCTCATCATTTGTTAGTTTAAGCTTTATCGCAGGCATTCTCCCGTAATTACTGTATTGCTTTAGCATAAAATACATTTATTTCTGTTTTCTCTTTTACTGCAACTCGATGTGCGATTTTGTTCTTAAAAAAGGTTTATTTACAGTATGTCTCCAATGGAGTGTTTTTGAAAAGTCTATAACAATGTTTGAGCCCTGTTTTAGCTTTATCTGTGTAAAGCTATAGAGCATTAGCTAATTATTTGTTTGTATATTTTAGAAGCCGATAAAGAAGAACAAATCTGATAGAAAAGATCAAACACCGTCCGCACCAAGTGAAAAACGTAGAACTATTTTTCATAAAGAATTAGACTTGACAGATGAATTAGCTAGTATTGTTGGTGGTAATCAGGTACGATAACATACTGTCACCGATCTAGTGAATGTTATTTTGTTTATTTATGTTATAGATGCCACGATCTGAAGTAGTAAAAAGAATGTGGGCATATTTTAAACAACATAATCTAATGGTAAGTTTCATGAGAGTTGTTCAGTTCCTCTAAAATTCGATTATCTTCTTTAAGGATGAAAAGAATAAACAATATGTTAATTGTGATGAAAAATTATCAAAATTATTTGGTAATAAATGATTATTTTAAATTTTTTCGTTCGTTTTCAGATTTACAAGGTCTTTCTATCCTGAAATTCACAAAAGTCTATGAGATGGTGTTTCTTGTGTTTTAGGTCGTAAACGTGTTCGCGCATTTGGAATGTTAAAAGATCTCTCTCGGCATATGACCGATCCAGATAAAGAATTTTGAAAAATCAAAAAGAGAGAACAATCAACTTATTTATTCGTGTATTTATTGATAAAACACAATTATTAGTTGGTTCTCTTTTCTTCACTTTTTTACATTTTTGTACATTTGTCTCTTTGTAATTTGTTTTGAATGATACGCATTGAGAGTGAAAAGAAAAGACTTTTCTTGTTTTATGTAGATATAGAGAACTTTAGTTTTGGTTTTGTTGAATGCTTGGGAATTTTCGCTTAACCTATATGTGTAACGTGTGTGTGTGTGTGTGTTGAACTGTGATAAGTGGTAAAAGCACACAATGCTATTTAACGTTATTGTTGTTTTACGCTCATTTGTATTGAGCAGATAACTATTACTTTTGTTAAGTAAAACACATTTTACGTGTTCTACGCTCGGTTCAATTTTTTCTTTTTCGTTTCTTTTGAATCTTTTTGATAATTAGTTTTGATGTGTAGAAACATCTGGATGTTTCCAATGAGGTTTGTTCTATTTAGGTGAAATCTATGAAGATCAAAAAGCCATTGTTTTTCTAATGTTAGAAATTTTTATCACTGATCTGCATTGTTTTCAGCTGAAGTGTTTGGACGTGTACATACGCAAGTTGTCGTATGTTCCATTTTCTAGCTCGTTGATACATACATGTTGATTTAATTGGTAGTCAGTGTGGAGGGAGAAAGAAAGTCAAATGGTGATCATATGTGAATTCGATTAAAATAGCTATCACCCCAAATTTTTCTTCGTTTTTTGTGTTTTTAATATGCTGTTCTTGTCTTTTTTCTTGCTGGTTGATTTATTGCGAGTTCTTCCTCTGCTTATTATTGTTTTTTATTCATAGATGCATACTTATAAATACTTATCTTAGGTGCCACCACGTTTTCTCTTTTTATTTCTATCAAATGTTGATATTTTTCTCTTATTGTTTCATCTTCATAAATGTGTATTTTGGTTTATATCTATTCTTGTTGAGAAAACAAAAGTTCGATAAACGTTTTAATCATAAATAATAGCGATAAAAAATTTTCTTACTTTTATCTGTCTTACATGGAAACTGAGGATTATAAACTCGATTACTGCGATATTTAGTTGTTTGTTTTGCAACAAATGTGAACATGTGTTCGTTTCTTAATATAGTTCTTACTTGTTTTAGACATATTAAAT